CGGTCCATTCGCACCAGAACCTCTCGCCATAAGAACAGTTTCTTCCCCTCTGCTGTTGGTGTTACGGGTCCCAGATGTGAAGACCACAATAACAAAAAGAATACAAATCTGTAAAAATAAAGGTAGAGTCTCAGAGAAAGAATCACAGGAGCACTCGTATCTTTTACCGAATTGCGTCTCTTATTTCCGATCAACAAATATAATTTACATCCAGTGCTTTCACTTGTCAGATATGCTCAATAACTGTAAAAGGTAAATAAAAGGCATTTGGCAAATATATGTATCTATGGTCATTACACTTCTCCAGTTTACACTGTTAGCTACACTACCACCGCTGCTGTGCCGCGCTTCAGTAACTTTCAACTAAACCCCACTTAAGGTTACATCGGCGTTGTCAACATAACTCTCAGTAAACACCGAAGTAGAACGAGGCACAAAACCCTCATACACTGTACTTTTAAGACGATACTGACCTGTAAAAATAAAGGTGGAGTCTCAGAGAAAGAATCACAGGAGCACTCGTATCTTTTCCCGAATTGCGTCTGAGAGGACAGGAAGTTGGTCCGCTCTAGGCAACCGCGGGCGAACGACTACAGTGTCAACAGTTCCGCTTATTGTTTCTCACTTTTACTCTCCTCAATTGTTATCGAATACACGTAATGAATGTAAAATAATAATTGTCTTAATTGCTGGCATATGTTTTTCTTAAAAATAATAAAATTTACCAAAATATGGTAGCACATTTGTGTGTGGTCATCTTGTTTTCCCAGTAAAGAGGAAGCCTGCCTCAATTGCAGCTCTTTTATAGGCCAGTCTGTATTAAGAAGGTGTGTCTTTAGAGTATTTAAACGGAGCAGGAATTGGATTGGGAGCCATTTTGAGAAGTTGCTGTCTGCATGATGTTGGCAAGAGATAATAAAACAATTACTTTAATTAAGATAGAGTGAAGTCTGCTGTTTCCCTCACCGCCCCTCACTGTGTAACAGGCACTGATCACAACCTGCACTCATGTATATATCTATCTACTTAGCACTTTTAATTCTTATTTTTATGTCTATTTAAGCGTTATATGACAGTATGTTTGCACTAAGTACCGCAGCAATTTCCTAATGTTGTAAACCTGCTCAACATTGGGCAATAAAACCCTTTCTGATTCTGATTACAATGACATTAGCATGACCTGTTATGCAAATTAGGCGATGACGTCTTTTAGCGACTTCTAGCGACTTTTCGGTCAGCCAATACTGATTTTCCTTACTGAGGAGTTGGCAACATTGCGTGAGGCTCCTGACTACGGCAGCCGTAATGCTCCAGCAATCCATCAAGCCATGCGCCATCATAGCTTACCAAAGTCGTACTAAAACATTTTGACAGATTTCTATGTGCCGTGTACTACATAAAATCGGTTCGAGGTCAGAATTCATACATAAGGCACACTGTCAATTTTTGAGAAAATTAAAGGATTGTAAGTTGCCTTATAGTGTGTGAAATACGTTATACAGAAGAAAAGAATATATCACGATATATATCGTTACCGCACATGCTTCAAATTATACCGTGATATGGATTTTAGGTCATATCGCCCAGCTCTACTCCCCAGTGCCATCAGCAGTCATGCAGTCCCAAACAATGGCATCTCACCACCATGCTTGACTGTAGGCAAGACATAATTGTGTTTGTACTCCTCACCTGGTTGCCGCCACACAACCTTGAGAACCATCTGAACCAAATACGTTTCTTGGGCTCATCAGACCACAGGTAATCCATGTCCTTAGTCTGCTTGTCTTCAGCAAACTGTTTGTAGGCTTTCTTGTGCATTATCTTTAGAAGAGGATTCCTTCTGGGATGAAAGCCATTTGATGCAGTGTATGAGCACTAACAGACTGACCCTCTACGCCTTCAACCTCTGCAGCAATGCTGGCAGCACTCAAGACACCCCCTGGATATGATGCTGAGCATGTGCACTCAACGTCTTTGGTCGACCGTGGCGAGGTTTGTTCTGAGTGGTACCTGTCCTGTTAAACTGGTGTATGGTCTTGGCCCCCATGCTACAGCTCAGTTTCAGGGTGTTGCCAGTCTTCTTATAGCCTAGGCCATCTTTATAGAGAGTAAAAATTCTTCTTTTTTTTTTCAGATCCTCAGAGAAATCTTTTCCATGATGTGCCATGTTAGACTTCCAGTGACCAGTATGAGAGAAATAACACCAAATTCAACACACCTTCTCCCAATTTGCACCTGAGATCTTGTAACCCTAATGAGTCACATGACACCAGGAAGAGAAATGGCTAATTGGGCACAATTTGGACATTTTCACTTAGGGGTGTACTCACTTTTGTTGCCAGCAGCTGTGTGGTGAGTTATTTAAAGGGGATGGCAAATTTAGACTTAAACAAGCTGTACACTGACTACTTTACATTGTATCAAAGTGTCATATCTTCAATGTTCTCCCATGAAAAGATACAATAAAATATTTACAAAAATGTGAGCGGTGTACTTACTTTTGTGAGATACTGTATATATGTACATATAATAGACACAAAGTAAGAAAAAATCACTTGCATAAAGTTTTAAGAAACTATTGGCAGAAAGATGTTGTCTCAGTTGCGCAGCCTGACAAATTACTTTTCAAAACTACAAATCCTCAATTTAATGCTTTAAAAAAATTTAAGCAGTGAAATGATGTGTCATTTCAATCATGGCAGAGTCTGTGCAATAGTGCATAATAAAACTGTGGGTCAGTATTATCACCATTTTTGCTTGTACATACTCATATGGTAGCAAACTGTCAATCACAAGACAGGCCTGGCCTGAATCAGACTGAGCTTTATCATGCTGTTTGATTCTAATAAGAACAAAAAAACAAAATTCTAAATAAACATCATTTTGTATTCACTATGATGCGAACCTCACAACTGAGGGCGTAAATCCGGGACAAATCAAGGGCTTGAAATAAAATGTTTCCCTCTGCTGTTACTGCAGCTTACTGTAACTTTGTCTCTGAAAAGGACATGGTGGACTATTGAGTATATTACATGCTTTCTTACTCATCATTTGTCTCAGAAATATTCATTTCATACACCAAAGCATATTTTGTGCTTATTTTCTATGACTTTTATAGTACTATAGGACTAGTATAGTACTTAAGCTGTTAGTACTGGCTAGACTAACTGAATGTGAACTGACAGGCCTATACATAGTCAGTCACAAGCTGGTTTACATAAGGTAAAGAGGTAAACTGTGTTGCCTAACTCACGTGATTTTAATTTTTGGTTATTATGAGTTCACTTGGTGAGTTTTGGGTTTGTTGCTCATGTCATGAAAAACGTTTTGCAACAACTACACATCTCTGGGCACTGAAAATGTCTGCCGTGTCTGACATATGAGCTACGATGATGTTTGATCCAGGCTAATTTACAATATAACAAGAAATATGACTGAGTGACCAATAAAATTACAAAAGCATTATATAAATGCAAGTATATGACATACTTATCCTCTTTGTTTCTAGCAGCAATACCAACAGGTACCCTCATTTTGTATTGCTCATTGTTAATACTTTAAGCTGTGGCAAGATTACTACGACCCTGGAGCTGAGCAGCACATTACCTAACTAACACCCTCATTTAAAATAAAATAAAAAAAAGCACTGTTATGGCTTCTGTGGTTGTGCAAGTATTGTTACAAATTCACACAATGAATAGAGAAAGGGTTTAATACATGAAAGACATTTCACATTGTTACATACATAACAAAACAAGATTATTTCTGCCTCCAGAGATGCTTATTTGACTAATCCCACTAGTTTACCTCTTGGTCAGTAGCATTATCATCTCCCACAAACACCAGCAAAAACCTCCCTTGCTTTGCACTTATGTGACATTCATAATCATTTCTTTTACATTCTAAAGGCCCGCTTAATCACTGCCAGTAGTGGTTACAGTAAAGGTATATACCTGAAGAATACAAGGGTACAAAAACAAAAGGAAAAAACAAAACTGAACTGAAAACGATTTTCATTATATATTAAATCCCTCATACAAAAAAAGATCTAGCTCTCTTAAATACATTAAGTACATATTCCAAAGTGCTATGATGCTGAAACTTGTGGTGGCACAGCAACAAAAAATGAGGTTTAAATCTTAGACTGGCAGTCGACATCAACATTCCAGTGTGTCCTCAGAGCTTTAAAGCCTACATGCAGAAACCCAACGCTCTCCTTCGAAGACTCCGCACACTGTGCTATTATTTGATGGAGTAACCTTCAAGGAAAACTCAGCCTTCAAGGCAACTGAAGAAAATGCCTACCAAGGCACAAAGTGAAGGTCTGAAATACTGCAGCTCTCTGGCAACACTATATGACTTAGTTTTACTGTAGTGTTTGAACAGGAATCATGTAGCAGACTTTTTATCTTAAAGAAATGCAGATTTTAGCTGTGATCAGTAATCACCTTTAAATAATACCTATAGTTACATTGTTAAAAACCAACGTAAATCCATCCCTCTATCCATATATCCAGTTTCTTTTGTTTATCCAATTCAGGATGTTTGGAGGGGGGGGGGGCATTATTTTGCAGATTATTTGCACCTGAATTTGCAATTTGCAAAATAATTACTTGCACATTGCACAAGATCCTCTCCAGACATTGCTACAAAAATATCCTTACAACATGACCATTTAACAAAGTACATATCATCTGTTTAAATAACACTACTGTAAACTGACAGAATAACATGTAGGCAATCATTTTTTACTTTTAATGATCTTCCTAAACTTACAGAATTGTACTCTTTTAAATAAAGCACCAGGCTTTGTTAATACATGAAAATTCTGTGTTATTCAGAAATAATCCATAAGAATATAAAAATTCTAATATCACTGTTTATCCCTCTTGCAATTTGCTACCTATTTATTTATTATGCTGCAAAAATAATCAGTTCCCTTTCTATGAAAGGAGTGACACTAAAGGAAGGCTTGTATGATTATTTGGACTTTAATTTGAAGTCCAGCACTTGTTTCACTTTCCTCAACATTAAAGCCGCAATTCCAACACACATAATCAAAGTGACCACATACAGCCCCACAAATAGAACAACATCACCACTTCCGTGCAGACTTGAGTACAACTTCCTGCGGCCCACAAAGTCCAGGTAGGAGGCGTGGATCTGACACAGGGTGCAGCAAGATAAGAAAACGTGGAAGATTTGATGACTCTGTCCCACAAAATCACACCGCCCGGGGAAACAGCGCTCCAGCAGAGGGCAGGTGAAGAAGAAGGCACAGCTGAGGAAGAATGCCACCTGGCCAAAGTGGTAGATGATGGCTGGATCACTGCTGGACCAGAAGAACAGTCTCTTGGCCACTGGACTGATGTCCCAGGAATAGGCGAGTGCTGAAGGCACCACCTGGCACACCTTACGCACCCACGTTGGTAGGCTGTGGTTGCAGTATTTGCCGTAGCAGCATCCCAAACATGAAAGGCAGCTGAGGATTGCGGCGGTGGGCATGAAGATACCACTCACCAGTCCATGGACGCTTTCATCAACAGCATAGTAAAAGTGGACTACAGCGCTGCCGTACTGATACTGCGCTACCCCTACGTAGTCCAGAAAGTAGAAGCAATAATGAGCAAGGTCAGACTTTCCTCCCAGTAAGTGAGCTACAACACTGAATGCAGAGTAGGTCAAAGAGGACAGGACGAGGATGAGCAGGGGCCACGAATGACGGTCACTGATAAAGTCCACAGTCTCAGTAAGCTGGCACAATTTAATCAGCAACACTAAAAATGCCACCAGGTGAGTCCAAATGTTTAAGGTTTCATTGTGGCGCTGAAACAAGGACAGGAAGTAGTAGCGCCAGTTTTGGTTGAGCGGACGGTAGCCGGTGCAGACGTAGCGTTCTCGGAAGTAGGAGGGAACCTCGGTGTCTCTGACGGTGCCGGGCATGGAGGGTGCAGCGTCAGTCAGCAACTGGGGAAACTGCCGGATCTGCTGCAGGCTGATGAACACTCGGCCGATGCTCTCCATCACAGTGGTTGCCATGATTGTCAGTAGCTGGCTGATGCACACTGGGTAGTTCCTGCAGATAGGTTTTTAAGAGTTAAAACCCACAAATGTGTGTTATTTTCAACCATTTCATTATGCTCCAACAACAGTGATACACATTGGCAAAGCAGGCTGTTGGGATGATTCCAGGGATTGTTTGAATAGATCTTTTCTGGATTCAAAGCAGAAAGCACAGTTAGGCAGTTTTTCTGATGTAAAGTATTTTAAGATAACCCTGTATATATGTATGTATGTATATGTATATGTATATATGTGTATGTATGTATGTATATATGTTAGGGGTGCAACGATACACAAAATTCACGGTTCGGTTTGGTTCGATACTTTGGTGACACGGTTCGATATTTTTTTCGATACAAAAAAATGTTCATGCTTTTTTAATTTGTCATTTATTAAAATTATAAATATATATTTTAACTCAAACGTACAGTTTTTAAATTTAATGTTGCTGAAACAACAAAGGGATAAAATAATAAATCTATCTGATTGAGGAATCACTCATCTTTGGAAAAGAGAGTTTATTACAGAGAAATGGCTCTTTCCAAAATAAAAGCTATACTATACGCTTCTTCTGAGCTATATTCTCAGCAGCATATTAAACAAATCAGGTCCCCATAAGGAGAATCCTGTGCTAACAGCTGTCTAAATGACTCGGGTAAAGTTTGTAGCATGCGTGCTTGTTGTTTTTCTCTGCTTCCACTTGTCTTTGCACTAGGATGCTGTCGGAGTAAATGTGCAGTCATATTCGTTGTGTTCCCACTAGTGCTGTCAGCGTTAATCTGAAATGACGTTAACGCCACAACACGGCAAATCTCCGTTAACGAGCTACCATCCCCGTGCGTGGGGCTGGACAGCGTCAACATTTCTTTTTATCACAACTCTGGTTTTCGTGGCTTTTCAACACAATTTAAAAACTGTTATAAAGTCCACACTTTTCCCGTCAAATGTTCCGTCTGTCCTGCTCACATCTCCAATGGTTGTACACGTTGTCATTAACGTGGCTTCACTCCACATCAGCCACGCCGCCTTGGCAGCTAAAACACCGGTGTCGGCACTTAAGGACGCTGTCATAGCCTGTCAACGACGTTGATTGGCTGCGTATATACGAATGTGAATCGCATTATTGGCTGGACTGTGGGATAGGTGGCATCGTTCTAATCACATACGGGAGCAGCCAGTCACTGACTGACTAACACTGCAAAACAGAATTGTTAAAGTATTAATTTTAATTTCAATGCAGGTAGATTTTTTTTTGTGCGCAAAGCAGATTTTCTGTGCGCAGAGACTGTGCCAGCAGTGCGCAATTGCGCACGTGCGCAGCTTAGAGGGAGCATTGCTCCCAGGGACATGTTAGGCAAATCTATAACCACTACACTTTTAAGGTAATAGACAGTCCTGATGCTTGTAGAAACACTCAAACATAGAGCCTGCTTTACCTCATGCAGATGTCATATAGAGTCACTGACAGGTAGAGTAGTTCCACTCTACCTATAGGAGCAGTTTCGTGTTGTTAAGCTATGTCCTAATGCTCTTTCTCTTCCCACCTTAAGCTAATGCGCGTAACAAGACAATATATCTACGCTGAGGTGTTTTAGTCATTACCCCACTCCCCTCCAAAAACCAGAAACATTTTTCCTTATTTACATCTTTAATGATTGGCTGCAGAGCTCTGAGAGAAGCTGCCACTTCATGTGTGCTTGCGCATGTGTATTACTAAGTTTTCAATTAGAGCAGTTATTTTGCTCTCAAGTGATTATCTTGCTGTTACTGCGAGGGACCTGTTTTAAAGAGTACTCACAGTAAAGCATTTTGACACACCAAGAAGAATGAGGCAGCTTTTGTTGTACGGGTTTAGAGAGAGTTTGTGTCTCTATGTTTGGATGAATTGTGCGGCTCTTACAGCTCTTGATTCCTGCAGAGACTGCTGTTCCTCGGAAGTATCAACAAAATTTGTCATATAAACCCGTCAGCTTTCCCCGCCTTGTGTTACAAACAAAGCGCGCCCCTTTCGTTTGCAGCTGTGTGCTTTATCCTCTCTTTCAGGTTATTTCAGCTTGAGCCAAGATGATGCAACAAATAAAACATTTGGTCCACAAGTCCTATCTAGAAGAAGCAAAAGTTGTAATGGGCTTCAAGAGGGGAACCAATGGAAAGATGATGAAAGGTTAAAGATCCCCTTATCTCACTCAGTACACTGCTGGGGTGCAGTGTGTGACCAAGGTGCTACTCTGCTGTCCTGCTGGATTGGCAGGTGAATTTTGTTGTGGTGACTTTTGACAGAAATCATGTGACCAGACCTCAGAGAAAAGACTCAAACCCTGCAACCCGTGGGTAACTAATCAGCTGTTTATGTTAATGTCTGGCCCAAGTTGCGTCTATTCTTTGTAACTGGCCGCCCTCACTTAACTGTAGCAGGCTAGAACCGGTCCTGAGCTCGGTTCTCCAGCCTCCTCTTCCGGTCTGTATTTCAGCAAAGGAAGGATTTTTTTTAAGTTTTGTATATTAATTTGCAGTGGCAGGCTATTGTAGAATAAAAACGCGACATCGAGAAAAAACGCAGCACCTCACACCAGTTTACTGCCTACATAAGCCCCCCCTTCCCATTTTTAAAAGCATGCTACAGCCTGTTGAATATCAAACTTCCTTCGCTAAAGTTGTGTCGATTTACCAGATAATCGTGTGTATGCTACCTGCAGAGTCTTGGGGAGAAAACATCCCAAAACAGTTCTTTAAAGGTAAAAAGGAGACTTATTCGACTTAATGTGTCCGTAACATTAGCGGTCTGTTTAGTGTTCAGCTACCCATGAAGTCATAAATGGATGATGTCTCACCTGCCAGCCTGAGTTTTGTCGATGTCCGTCGGTAAAACGACCACTCCTTCCTCCTCCGCCTGCCGACAGTACGTTCAACAGATTGAATCGCTCTTCTGAAGACAGTCGAGGCGCTGGAAATGCGGCCGGAAGTTTAGTCTTTTACCCCACCCAATTAAAAGCGTTATTTTTCAGTCGTACGTCGTTGTTATTCCTGTTAGCAGTATAGTTTTGTTTCCGTTGCAAATAAATAAATAAATAAATACATAATAAAATTTCATCCTTCCCCAAACACCCCCAACACTGAACTAACAACTGAACCTTATAGAGTCCAAGTGCTAAATACCCCTAATGAATGTAAAACCAACACACTGTCTCCAACACCTTTCCAGTTTTCACGCATTAAAGCTAGTCTCTTGAGCAGGAGAATGACTTTGTTTTAGTTACAAAGAGGCATATCAGGGGTACTTCCCAAAGTATAAAACATGTACTCTAAAAACTAAGTACTGTAAAAAAAAA